TGTGTGTGTGAGTGAGTGAGTGAGTGAGTGAGTGAGTGAGTGAGTGAGTGAGTGAGTGAGTGAGTGAGTGAGTGAGTGAGTGAGTGAGTGAGTGAGTGAGTGAGTGAGTGAGTGAGTGAGTGAGTGAGTGAGTGAGTGAGTGAGTGAGTGAGTGAGTGAGTGAGTGAGTGAGTGAGTGAGTGAGTGAGTGAGTGAGTGAGTGAGTGAGTGAGTGAGTGAGTGAGTGAGTGAGTGAGTGAGTGAGTGAGTGAGTGTGTGTGTGTGTGTGTGTGTGTGTGTGTGTGTGTGTGTGTGTGTGTGTGTGTGTGTGAATACTGTACATACATACATACATATATATCTTCTTGTCTAAATGGGCCATTTTTGACAGAATGAGCTTTAGAGTGGATCACACTTTCTGCCAAAAACTCTGTGAGAATAATATTTGATTAGATTGGAAAAAGATGGAAAACATTTTAAACATTGAAATGCTTGGTTAATGATACTTTCATTGTTTACATGATGAGAAAATTCATTTTAAAGTGATTTTGATAAACGAAACGGTTACATTTATAAGAACGTAAAGAGCGAAGTTTGAATTAGAATTAGAATTTCTACATGATGTCCCAGAATCCCCTGAGCAGCTGCTCTGAAAGATCAAGAAGATACTGGAGGAAGTCTGAGCTTCAGCAGACGTCTAATTCTCAGACGACGAGCGTCTAGACAGCTGCAGGAACCGAGGAACACACCCAGCTCAGTCGGGAGGCTCAGTTCATCGCTTGTTTTGGCGTGATGAGGAGCTGAGGGAAGTGAGCTAAGATCACTGCTCGATCCTGTAGCTCTGCGCCGAACGCTCACTCTTCAGTCCAGAGTCAATACAATCATGGCTTTTCAAGTAATGCCGCTCTGTTGCACGGTTTTGTTTTTTGGGTTGTTATTAAGGTGAGAAGTGAGTGCAAATGTACTGATCAAGATTTTCTAATGCTTTCGAAAGAGGTCTCACCAAGGCTGCATTTATTTGATTAAAAATACAGTAAAAAATGTGAAATATTATTACAATTTAAAACAGCTGTTTTCTGTGTGAGTATGTGTTAAACCGTAATGTATTTCTGTGATGCGCAGCTGTATTTTCAGCATCCTTCCTCCAGTCTTCAGCGTCACATGATCTTCATAAATCAGTATAATATGCTGATCTGCTGCTCAAGAAACATTTCTGATTATTATTATTATGTTGAAAACAGCGGAGTAGATTTCTTCAGGCTTCTCTGATGAATAGAAAGTTCAGAAGAACGGCATTTATCTGAAATCGAAATCTTTTGTAACATTATACATGTCTTTATCATCACTTTTGATCAATTTAAAGCATTCTTGCTAAATACAAGTATTAATTTCTTAAATAAAAATTATACTCCAAACTTTTGAATGGTATAGTGTATAATGTTACAAAAGCTTTTTATTTCAGATAAATGCTGATCTTTAGATCTTTCTATTCATCAAAGAATCCTGAAAAAAAAATTGATCAACTGTTTTCAACATTGATAATAATCAGAAATGTTTCTCGAGCAGCAGATCAGCATATTATACTGATTTCTGAAGATCATGTGACACTGAAGACTGGAGGAATGATGCTGAAAATACAGCTGCGCATCACAGAAATACATTACACTTTAACAGAGATTCACATAGAAAACAGCACTAACAGTAGTTTAGTCAGTTATTTGCCATCTGTGGGCTGTTTTTTGTCCGTCGCAGCAGGCGTCAGTTTCTCTGAAGCGGCTTTCACACGAGAGTCTGAATCTGGAGAAACTGCCAAACAGAAGATCAGCACAATCTCAGTCTGTGTGTGTGTGTGTGTGTGTGTGTGTGTGTGTGTGTTTGAATAGCAACATAGCTACTGTCAACTGCTTCTTGTTTAATTAAGTGAGGATTTTAAATGCTTAAAGCTCTTTTTCCACTGTGAAATGTCTGACTTGTGTGATGTGGTAGCCGTAACAATGTCTCGCTCCCTTAAACGTGCCGTTACAGTCAGTAGCCCATCCTGGCACTCTTTCACCATAAACTCACCCTCCTCCGTCATGCATTTCTCATTTCATTTCCAGCCAGGCGTTCGCTTGAACAATTTACAGAGAAAACCCATCTGAGTGAGTGAGTGTGTGTGTGTGTGTGTGTGTGAGTGAGTGAGTGAGTGAGTGTGTGTGTGTGTGTGTGTGTGTGGGTGAGTGAGTGAGTGTCAGCGTCACATGATCTTCATAAATCAGTATAATATGCTGATCTGCTGCTCAAGAAACATTTCTGATTATTATTATTATGTTGAAAACAGCGGAGTAGATTTCTTCAGGCTTCTCTGATGAATAGAAAGTTCAGAAGAACGGCATTTATCTGAAATCGAAATCTTTTGTAACATTATACATGTCTTTATCATCACTTTTGATCAATTTAAAGCATTCTTGCTAAATACAAGTATTAATTTCTTAAATAAAAATTATACTCCAAGGTTTTGAATGGTATAGTGTATAATGTTACAAAAGCTTTTTATTTCAGATAAATGCTGATCTTTAGATCTTTCTATTCATCAAAGAATCCTGAAAAAAAAATTGATCAACTAGTTTCAACATTGATAATAATCAGAAATGTTTCTCGAGCAGCAGATCAGCATATTATACTGATTTCTGAAGATCATGTGACACTGAAGACTGGAGGAATGATGCTGAAAATACAGCTGCGCATCACAGAAATACATTACACTTTAACAGAGATTCACATAGAAAACAGTTATTTTAAATAGTAAAAATATTTCACAATTTTACTGCTTTTGCTGTATTTTGGATCAAATAAATGCAGGCTTGTTGAGCAGAAGAGACTTCTTTAAAAAATCTTACTGTGCATGTGAACACATTAAGTGTAAATATCAGGGGTCATACTGTTCGCTAAAGGAACGCATGGTTTGTGTGTGTGAGAGTTTCAGTTCACCTGTTTGTTGACTATCACCCGCACTAAGGCTTGTCCCAGTGACCTCTGAACTTTCACCCCAGCAGATGAAACTCCCAGCGCCGACACGTGATTGGCTGTCCTCTGTCCTCTCCTCCTCTTTGATTGGACTGGTAGGTTCTCTGTGGGGGACATTAATGTATCATCTGTGCACATGCACGTCATGACACGCAGTCGCATAATGCTATCAAATGAATCAATGCATCTCAGTGGCACAAACACACATGTAGCAAAGGCTACAAAAACATGACAATTTTGTATCTTTTTGTATTTACTCTCCCTTTGAACAACACAAAAGGACAAAGTTTAGCAATCACTTTTAATCTCTGTGCTGCTGTTTTCATCAAATGAAAGCAGAGAAAGCAGTCTTAAAATTAAGTTTGATCAACTTTAAGGTCATTAAAAGTCTTTAATGATCATTTTGAGAGGTTTTAAAATTGAGAATGGAAACAACAGTAATCTTGATGTGGCCTAATGTGACCCTTAAGCTTCAGAAGTAGTGTTTAATGAAATAAACGTGAGCTCTGCATGTTCAAAGTCTAAAACTGGCACTGTTCACGCATTCATGCCAAACGGATTGCTTAGGATCTGCTGCTGATGAATTTTGACAGTGTTTAGTTTATGGTTTTTATATCATATTTTATGTGATATGTTGTAGAACAGTTTTATCTTCCTCATCTGTTTTAATGTGCAGCTAAAAACAGTACAGCAAAGACATTTCAAAATAAGAGTCCACTCATACATATATTAGTACATTTTCAATACGTGAGCCTATCTACCATATCAACCAATTTCAATATATACTGTATTGAATAAACGTGCCTTGCTTTGCTAATAAGCAGTAGTAAGTCATCATTAAATGTGTGCACCAACCTGTTTAATTAAGTAAAATAATCTGAGACACAATTCATTTTTGGGATTTTATGGGTTTGTGATGTAGGAACAAAAAGACTCTAAAAATGACTCCAATGTCTTCTAATGTCATCTGTGTGAGGAATATAGTGAAATAAGCCACTGCCGTTTCTGCCAAATGCTGAAACGGCAGATATATCTGACCACTGACAACTTTCCCGCTGGAGGTTTATTTGTTAAAGCCTCTCAGCCATATGTGGACACTGATCAGATATTCTACAGACACAGCAGTTGTTATGTGAGTCTGAGCTTTTAGTGTGGGCTGAATACCGACAGTCTTGCTCTTCTGGAGAACTAGTAGCAGAACTAATGGCACAACTCAGGTGCATTTAGCAGGTAATCAAGGATATAAAAATTATTTTATGAATCAGTATTTTGTCTTGTTTTGTTTACCAGTAAAAATACCTAAACATCCTTAAAACAAGATAATATATTTCATTGATTAATACGTAAAACTTATTTCAAAACCTATTTCAACTTCAATATTATTTCAAAATAAATCAAAAACTTATTTCTAAACTTATTTCAACTTATTTTTTTTAATAAATAAATCAAAAACTTATTTCAAAACCTATTTCAACTTAAATGTTATTTCAAAATAAATCAAAAACTTATTTCTAAACTTATTTCAACTTAATTTTTTTAAATAAATATATCAAAAACTTATTTCAAAAACTATTTCAACTTAAATTTATTTGAAAATACATCTTTGTTTTGGAGGAGGCGTGGCTTTGGAGAGTGATTTGCAGGGAGGGTGGGATCTTATGCTTTCAAAGCTAGCTCGCTCTTCCTAGCCTCTTCGAAACACTACACTACCTTTAAACCATAATGCTTTTATTTGGTGGAAAACATTAAAGCTTCTCTTTTGTTGAAAACAGAATAACAAATGGACTCTTTTTACATATTTCTAAAGATGGTTGTGCGTGTTGCATGAGTGGCCATAGTTTGTGCACAGCTGATTTTACCTCAGTTCACGAAGGTCGTACTTTTTTATGTCGGAAAATACATAAATCTGTATAAAAGTCACATCCTGAGTGTACACTCCCCTGTAGTTAGGCCTGGATGTGTTGTAGTTATTGCAGAGATTTTAGTATTTGGCATTGTGAAAACAGGTCACCTGACCCTTGTAAGTAAATGCACCTTTTAAGAATCAATTTGTCATTGGAAGTCTTTCTTTTGAAACTTGCGCAGAGAGATGGTAGCCAGGGCAAAGGTCAGCCTTTGAACACATGGGGCCAAGTGTCTCCTTCACAAGAGAATTAAAAGGTCAGAGGAAGAGAAGATTTTGCTCACTCAACCGTATGCGCAATTATACCTGTTGGTTTGATAAGTGTCCGGGTTGCTCAAATCCCACTGCTGTTCCTGTCCAAAACAGCCCACACAACTTCCCTGAGGGGTCCAGAGACAGGCCCTGCGGTCCACCGAGATGCTCAGAACGAAGAGTTGAGACTCGTACGCCAGCAGCTCGCTGCTCACTATCGCCCTCTCGTGGCCCCTCCAAGAGTGCAACAGCGAGGGCAGATCTTCTGCAGACTGAGACAGACACACACAAGATTCCTTCAGCCATTTATCCTAATGCAGAAACACTGAGCGTGTTTACATGCACGTTCTTAAGCTGGTTATGCTTAATAAGCCGAAAATGCATGTTTTCTTTTATTGGAGTAAACGGCATAAGTATAAACTGGTCGACACATTCTTACTCGGATTTCGCGTGGCATGTAAACGCAATAACCTGCTTTCTGTCGGCTTATTGAAGTGCGCATGTGTGATACGTGACAGGAACGCATCGTAAGTGCAGATTTAAGCGCATTTAGACAGAGCAAATGTTTTGCAGTAAAGAAAGAAGGAATATAGAAGTGGTTCAGTCAAAACGCAGCATTTATAACTGCATGAGAGGATAATAATGTGACCCTGGAGCACAAAACCAGTCATAAGGGTCAATTTTTTAAAATTGGGATGTATGCATCATCTGGAAGCTGAATACATCTTTCCATTGGTGTACGGTTTGTTAGGATAGGACAATATTTGGCTGAGATGCAACTATTTGAAAATCTGGAATCTGAGGGTGCAAAAAAATCTAAATATTGAGAAAATCATCTTTAAAGTTGTTCAAATGAAGTTCTTAGCAATGCATATTACTAATCAAACATTAAGTTTTGATATATTTACGGTAGGAA